GTAATTAATGTCGAGATGTTAACTAATTGTCATCTTAGCAACACTCCCCAACATTAATATAGAGATAGATTAAGGGAAGAATTAATATTCAAGGAAGAAGATTAAATATGAATAATCCTACTATAACTAATGTCAAGATGTTATCTAATTGTCATCTTAGCAACACTCCCCAACATTAATATATAGAGGAAGAAAATAAATACTACTATAACTAATGTCGAGATGTTAACTAATTGTCATCTTAGCAACACTCCCCAACATTAATATATAGATAGATTAAGAGAATAATTAATATTCAAGGGAAGAAGTTAAGAAAATAACTCACAACTTTAATAATCAACAAGCTTCAAGAGCAACACCAAGAAATGGAAGTTTAGCTCCTCATTTGGAGACTAAACATGCTAAAAAAATATAAAAGAAATACTATTCTAAGTTGAGCTTAAGAGTATGGAAGAAGGAGTGATTATTTGTGAAGGAAAATGGGGTTATTTATAGGTGTTTTCAACACCCTGGGGCATTGACCCGCCCGGGTAAAAGGACATACCCGACCGGGTCAACGTCAAAATCACATATTTCCCACGTTCTGGCGATCTTCGGCATGTTCTGGTGTTCCGGGTCACATCTGACCCGACCGGGTCAAATAAGTGACCCGCCCGGGTCTAGTGACTTTCTCAGCAGTTTCTGATTCTTTGTCATACCCGACCGGGTGAAGTATTGTACCCGGTCGGGTTTGTGCTTCTGGGCAGCCAAATCTTATTTTTCTTCACTTCAAAGTCCTCCTTTTCAACACCCTAATTCCTAACTCTACTTTACAACTTACAAATGAAGATTAAAATACAATTACAACTAAAATCACACAAATGTTTACAAACTAAATAAAACGGTAAACAAACCACACAAATCATACGTAAAAAACATACACTTGTGCACTACTAATTAGTGCATATCATTCGTCGATCCCGGTTATATCTTTAACTATCTTCCTCTCGAATACTCAATCGAGGAGTATATCCAGTTCATCGAGGGTAGTTATTAATAACGAGAAGCGTTCATTAATAAAACTTACTATCGAGTCAATATAGAACAAGCGCCGTATATTAACTTGATAGTAGCAATAAACTTAAGATGAAAATGATTCAGATTGATAACCTCAACACAAGCGGTTTATTGGTTTAATCAACATAATTAATTCCCCTTGGTTTATTAACCATGAGAAGCATGCATTAACAACCCAAGTTTACTACCGTGAAAGGACCGAATTAATAACAAGCGTATTAACCGACCGATTCTAGTAATAATTAATATATAGAACAAGACTAGTTGATACTTTAAGTAATGCTCAATATATTAATATAGAATAAGAATAGGAAGTAATTAATATTCAAGGAAGAAGTTTAGAGAAAATAACTCACAACTTACAAATCATTAAGCTTCAAAGTAGCAAAACCAAGATGGAAGAGTTTAGCTCCTCATTTGGAGACTAAACATGATAAAAGTATAAAGAAAGAACTTGTCTAAACTGAGCTTAGAAGTATATAGGAATTGGTGCCTTTCTTGTGGAGGAAATGGGGTGTATTTATAGGCTTTTTAGGCCTGCAGGGTCGTGTACCCGATCGGGTTTTCAGCTCGACCGATCGGGTAAGGGTTAGTTTCCTCGAAACTGAAAATCTGGGGTCATACCCGATCGGGTATGTCGGCTACCCGATCGGGTATGGATACGCAATCGAGTTAAAATCTTCCTGCATGTTGCCTTGTTCCCGGGTTGATTCGATTTGATTTTTCAGCAACTTACCCGATCGAGTATAGGGTATACTCGACCGGGTACAATACCAAAAATCAGGATCTTCATTTTGTTTTGGAATTTTTGCACCTTCCTTCCACTTGTGATGTTCACCAATGGTCCCTAGAGTGGTCTTGGACCTGTTTGAGCTCAGAACAAATCTAATCTAAACAATTTACAAACATTTTACAAACTAAACTATTACACCAAAAGTGTGTAATTTCTAGAGTAATAATCACTCAAAACTAATCAAAAGCACAAACATAAACACGGAAATAACATGAATGTCAACTAGTGAACGAGTGAAAAGGTGCTCTGGAAAAGGTACCCTAACAGAGCTTAGAAAAAAATGGATAAAGCAAACGATTAATTGTATCCTTGCCCACTTCTTTTTACTCTTTAACAATGAGTTAAGAATTATAGTTGGCATTTTTGGATTCATTTACCTATTAATTTTTTTTTTTCAGGTGTTGATGATGCGTGCTCTTTGTTCCGATTTATGGAGGCTGGCTATGTTTTGGTTTAGAACATTGCAGTAATTTTTGGCTTATAAAATTATAAACTTTTTCAACATTTGTTTGTATTGTAATGGTTATGATACGCAATTATGAATGGATGAAGGATCAATTTTTGTGGATTTATTATTTTTTCTAAGCCCTAGTTATTAGATAAATTTAAATGTTCATTATTCCGACATGTGATAATTGATTGAAATGAACTTATTATTAATTAACAGCAGGTGCATGAGTACATTGTAAATAAATGTTGCAATTAAGAACACTTAAAAATGTGCCTTTTTTAATATTAAAACTGCGAGTCTGCGACAATTTATAATCAACTTGTGGGTTTTAAATAATAATAATAATAACAACAAAATATTGCATGCTAAGTGTTGCTCCAAGTGTTGCAATATCTAAGTATTGGATTTGCATTTAAATGTGCTGCTTTTGGTATTCTAGAGAATATTGTTGCCATAGCCAAAATAGTATCAACACATTTTTCTTTGTTGCTATAGACATCTATAGCAACGGCCAATATTTCAACACTTTCAAAATACGAAATGTGTTGCCATAGGTTTCTAAGGCAACACATTAGGGTGTAGTGCAACATTTTTTTTAGTGTTGCCTTAAGCCTTTTTTAGAGTACGCTATAGCCTTCTTTCGTATCATAAATTTCAAGATCATTACATTAATCAAAGGAAAAAAAAATTGACACCAACTAAATTCCAACAACTACGACTGTAAACCCTATTATCAGACTTAGAGACGGTCACCCCTGAAAGAGCAACGCGAATCGCTAACCATGTAGCGGGCTTGACACAGTCATCCATATTCCCATAGATCCAAACATATTCAATGACATAAAAAAAGGCAGAATTCCCAAACAAACTGACAAACCTAACAACATAGACGACAACAAGAAGCCAAATGACAGAATAATAATAACTAATAGGAAAACTTTCATGGAATCTAGCACCTCGTAAAACCCATGGCGGTGGTTCAGGAGGAGGCCATATCCTTGGTACCACTCTAATTGATCCTCCATTGTCAATCGTCATCTGGCCTGCTTGAAATCCGTGCAACTCTCCTGTCCCGCGCTCGTAGCAAATCCACCGCTAGCGGTCACCTTCATCGCTGCCATGCCCTTGCTACCCTGCTGATATGCACTAATTAGTAGTGCATACATGTATGTTTTTATGTTTGATTTGTGTGGATTGTTTACCATTTTATTTAGTTTGTGAACATTTGTGTGATTTTAGTTGTAATTGTATTTTAATCTTCATTTGTAAGTTGTAAAGTAGAGTTAGGAATTAGGGTGTTGGAAAGGAGAACTTTGAAGTGAAGAAAAAAGAGATTTGACTGCCCACGAGCTAAAACCCGACCGGGTATAAATCGTCACCCGGTCGGGTAAGAAGTGAAAACCGAACTAGCAAGGAAACTACATGGCCCGGTCGGGCCCACTACCTCACCCGATCGGGTGAAACTTGACCGAGGACAATCCGACGTGCTGTAGGACACTAGAACGTGGAAGATATTTAATTTGGACCGATACCCGGTCGGGTACCCGGCCAAAGATGTTGAAAAACACCTATAAATAGCACACTTTTCCTTCACTAATAATCATCCCTTCTTCCATATACTTAAGCTCAGTTTAGAATAGTTATTTCTTATATTTTTATAGCATGTTTAGTCTCCAAATGAGGAGCTAAACTTCCATTTCTTGGTTTTGCTCTTGAAGCTTGTTGATTATTAAAGTTGTGAGTTATTTTCTTAACTTCTTCTCTATATTAATGTTGGAGGATTGCTAAGTGACGATTAATTAACATTCCGACATTAATTATTACTAGAAATGATCAACGAACCGATGATTAATCGTTGATGGTTTCACAAGTAAGTAACTTCGGTTTATTAATGCACGGTCGTGATTAATAAACTTAAGAGGGATTAATTTTGTTGGTTAAACTGAAACCGTTGTGTTGAGGTTATCAATCTCAATTGATTTCATCAAGGAGTTAAAGAGATTAACCGCTACTATTATGTCGGTATACGGCGTTGTTCTATATTTGATTAATAGTAAGGGTTATTAATGAACGATCGTTGTTAATAACTACCCTCGATGAATTGGAGATACTTCTCGATTCAGTATTCGAGAGGAAATAAGTTATAGATATAACAATGATCGACTAAAATATATCAACAAGTGGAAAGTAGCAAGGCGATGTCCCTTTTATTCTTGACTTAAATCTCATATAAGTCGTTCATCTTCGTATTTAATTTAATTAAATCACTCAATCAAAACCCCCTTTATTTACTTGTTTAATTAAATTTTTAGGGAGGGCTCCTCGAAAAAAATATTGAAACGAACTAAATTTGAGTAAATGAGTATTAAGGTGAAATTAATAGGGAAAGTTCCTGAAATGGGACTAAAAAAGTTCGAAAATTCCAAAATAGGAATGTCATATTTTTATTCCCAAAATAGGACTAATTACTGCCAAATTTGGAAGATACTGCCATGTTTGAAGTCTGGTACTACCAAAACATGGCAGTAATTAGTCCTATTTTGAGAATAAAAATATGAAAGTCCTATTTTGGAATTTTCATATTTTTTTAGTCCCATTTTGGGTAATATCGCAAATTAATACTCCCTAAAATATACTCTGTGTTAATGCTCAGCCAATGACAAGATTTAGAAGTTCTAGAAGATAAAAAGTTCACAATTTATTTGATACCATTAATATAGAGGCCCATTATTAATATACACCACGGTATACTATAAATTAAATACTCCGTACTCCGTAATTCCTAATTCTGTATTCCTTTCAGGAGTTAACAGGCGTATATATCCTAGACTAGATCATCATAATTACTAATCAAAGCCACAATCTTTTTCAAATACCTGTTTTGCCTTTCCAATTAAATAATCGACACCCTTACGGAATACGGAAAGATTACGACAATCATATTCTTCTTCTACGACCAATCTCTTCTGAAACGAGAACGACTCAACAAGCTAAAGGTCAACAACAAAACATAGGGGTGAGAAATTTAGAGGAAGAAGAAGAAGAAACAAGCAGCTCTCACAGGATTTAGTCTGGTATTCAAGATTGGAAAGAAAAAAGGAATAATTTGGTCAGAAGTCGGAACTCCTCGGCAAAAATGGCAAGCCTGCGACCGGAATATGAGAATTGGGTAAATATGCTCCAACAATGCCCGAATTGGAGAAGAATTGGGGAGCTCTATTGGTAAACATGCTCCGACAAGAAAATCAACAAAAAATTGGGGGAGAATTGGGAGCTGTGGCGACTCTTGGGACAGCCGGCGGCTACTCCGGTGCACTGATGAACACAAGGATCCAGAAGCAGCTCCCATTAGCGAAGCAACAGCCGGAACTCCTCTTCCATAGTAGACTCCTCTTCTATTCCCTTGCAGATCTGGGACTCCTAGACCTTGCCTTCATATAGACGACGAGGCTCTTGCAGTGGCGTGGCTTCAACGAGGGATGACGAGTGCAAACACAGCTGAGAAAACACTCCTTCGCAAGGTTCTACTTTCACTTCGTTGTTGGTTCTGGTTCCTCTGCTTCACTGACGACAACGGCCACGAAGAAGGATTTTCCGGCGTGGGAAACCCATAACTCCGACGAGAAAAGGATGAGTTGCTGCACTTGGCTGCCCAAAACGATGGGGTTTCCAGCTATGCAGGGCCAAGCTTTGGACGGGACAAGATGTTATGAAAAGGGTATATCAGGAATTTTATTTTATTGTGTCTGTATTTAGTAATTTAGCTATATAGAATTACCCTTTGCAGTTCCCTATTCCTTTCAGGAGTTAACTCTTAACAGACGTATATATATCATATTGTACCTAAACTTACAATCTCCAACATACATACTTCGTATATACACATCAAACGTAGTACTTCGTATATTGGTGTGACAAAAAATATGGATATTTTTCCTTACCTAATCCTGACGGCTTGTGTGCTTCTTATTACTCTGTGGGCAGCAGCCCTCGTTGCCCTTGCAATTTTGTGCTTGAATATCTGCCTCTCTTTGCGGCGGCGCAGCACATCCCCAGCCCCGCGTATTCCCAACACCAACGTCATCGTTAGCGTAGGAGAACAACTGCCCCGCCAACCACCGCCGGAGGTTCGGCTGAATATAAGAACCTTCGAGGAAAGCGTAGGAGAACGACTACCCCGACGCCCACCGCCGGAGGTTCGGCTGAATATAAGAACCTTTGAGGAAGGGAGCTTAAGGGCGGGAGTGGAGGACGGGTGTGCAATTTGCATCACAGGGTTCGAGAAGGGCGCGCTGTGCACCGTTCTTCAAGCCTGCAATCATAAGTTTCATTCCGACTGCGTCTCCGTTTGGTTGGCCATTAACAAATCTTGCCCCCTCTGCAGAGCTTCAGTATAGCTAATCCAAATCTTTAGTCTAGTTGTTTGAATATTAATTACAAATTTAACTGCACACATGATCATCTATATGTATAATGTGCATGGCATGCTTGAATTGATGTTTTTGTGTTCAAGCAATTATTCCTCTTGTATATAAAGGTTTAATTTTGTGACAGCCGTTCCAATATATAGTACTAGTAGGGTTCTTCTTATTCATTATAATTGTGTTAATTCACATCTTGATTACCTGTGTTACTGTGTATCTAGTATTTTGGGCTGGCAATCTATCCGTTCTGGGAAAAGTTTCGTTCTTCCTCCTATTTTTTTACGTTCTTATCAGTCTATTATTCTTGACTCAACTCTATTATGTTTAATTTTGCACGTACTAATAAATTTAAATAGATTTTTTTAATTATAGTTTCATAAATATAACTTTAACTAGTAAGCACGTACTACTAACAAGGTATATTTGCTCATTTAATCTGACTTGAGCATATCTCTAGAGCCTGAGAATAATAAAAGGCTTAACCATATTGATAGCCCTGACACATATATATAGGAAAATGTTCAAGTAAGGTATGTCTAAGAATTAAAATTCTTAAGCCTCTTTCATTTGAGGTGCTTCCGGGACATGTTTTTTGATGAAAATTTGTGGGCATGTTCTCCATGAAGTGTTGATTGTTCCCACCAAATTTTAGAATAAAATTCAATCGGGAAGTCGGTTAAATAAGTTTTTCAAAATTGTGTAGAACGGTGGACAGCGCGCCCTTCTCGCCCTGGAAGATATATATATATATATATATATATATATATATATATATATATATATATATATATATATATATATATATATATATATATATATATAGAGAGAGAGAGAGAGAGAGAGAGAGTCTCGTTCTTGTCCAGCCGGCCTGACGGGATGCTCCGTCCGGCCGAGGGCATTTCGGGGCACTTCCCGGTGGATTTTTTTGATGAAATATTTTGAACACGTTGTTCATGAAGTCCAGTTTATCCATACTAAATTTCAGCTAAAAATTCAATCGGCAAGGTACTCAAATAATTTCTTGAAGTTAACTGGGCAGTTTATATGTATGAACTGCCCAGTTAACTTCAAGAAATTATTTGAGTGCCTTCCCGATTGAATGTTTAGCTGAAATTTGGTATGGATAAACTAGAGTACTTCATGAAAAACATGCTCAAAATATTTCATCAAAAAATTCCAACGGGAAGTCCCCGAAATGCCCTCGGCCGGACGGCGGTTCCCGTCAGGCCGGCTGGACATGAAGTTTTCTCTCTCTCTCTCTCTCTCTATATATATATATATATATATATATAAGATCTGGTAAGAACAGATCTTAGGAGAAAAATGAGAACGAATCTGGACCGTTGGATTGTATTATGTGGAACCAAATTGTGCATTTGGTGAAACTGAAATGTGCATTAAATGATATTGAAATGTGCAAAATAAAAATTTAAACTCAAGTTTGCATTAGATGAAACTGATATGTGCGAAAAAAATTACAAAAATAACATCACATCGTACTTTTTATTCTGCACATTTCAGCTTCAACTAGTGCAAATTTCAATTTCACATAATGCACAATTCAACTGCACACAATGCCACTCTATCGTACCCTTTGTGATGCACATTTCAATTTCACCTAATGCACATTACAGTTTCATCTAATGCACACTGAATTTTACTTGAAGCAAATCTAACGGTCCTGATTCGTTCTCATTTCTCTCATAAGATCGTGTTCTTATTTGAACCAGAACTTATATATATAGGTGCATTAGGTGAAACTGTAAGGTGAAACTGATCGTGTTCTAATTCAGTGTGCATTAGATGAAACTGTAATGTGCATTAGGTGAAATTGAAATGTGCATCACAAAGGGTACGATAGAGTGGCATTATGTGCAGTTGAATTGTGCATTATGTGAAATTGAAATTTGCACTAGTTGAAGCTGAAATGTGCAGAATAAAAAATACGATGTGATGTTATTTTTGTACTTTTTTTCGCACATATCAGTTTCATCTAATGCACACTTGAGTTTAAATTTTTATTTTGCACATTTCAATATCATTTAATGCACATTTCAGTTTCACCAAATGCACAATTTGGTTCCACATAATACAATCCAACGGTCCAGATTCGTTCTCATTTTTGTCCTAAGATCTGTTTTTACCGGAACCGCTCCCTATATATATATATATATATATATATATATATATATATATATATATATATAGTAATGATCCGGTCAGGAGCTCCTGACCGGAACCGCCGTCCGGACCAAGGCGTTTGGCCGCCTTCCCGGTGGCTTTGTTTTATGAAATTTTTATGGCATGTTCTCCATCAAGTCTAGTTTATCCACAAAAAAATTCAGCCAAAAACTCAATCGGGAAGGTCGTCAAATGATTTTTGCAAGTTAACTGGTCCGGAAAATACATATTCCGGACCAGTTAACTTGCAAAAATCATTTGACGACCTTCCCGATTGAGTTTTTGGCTCAATTTTTTTGTGAATAAACTAGACTTGATGGAGAACATGCCATAAAAATTGCATCAAAAAATTCCACCGGGAAGGCGGCCAAACGCCGCGGTCCGTACGGCGGTTCCTGTCCGGACGTCCGGACAGGAATATTTGTGTGTATATATATATATATATGTTCAAGTGAGAAAATCATCTTAGGAGAGAAATGAGAAATGAGAATAAATATAGACCATTAGATCTTCCATGCTACTAATCTGCCGAGGGGACTATTTTGCCATTTCATATACGTATTTATTAGTTTCCAAAGTTTTAGGCACTACCGTTTGACTGTTCACTAACTAACTTCCTTTTGAATCTATTGTTTATTTATTAGTGCTCTATCATATTTAATGTTTATGGCCTTTAATTTTAACGTGTCATTTTACACTTTCTCTTGCTTGGTTGTTTTCTTTTATGCACCGAGTAACTTTAACAATTTTTTATTTTCTTTGTTCTCTTTTATCATCCTATGTTCTCTAATTTATTTTTTCAATCATGAAATTGTAGTTTCCCCATTACATTATTTCGTATCGTACGTACGTAGTACTATATAATTGTGCATCTTTAGTTTACGTGTTATCATTTTTACATCTTCATGCCGCTTATTATAAATTTACATAATGAGTAGGATATTGCATAATTTGAATATGATCATTTGCGGCCTCAAATTTTATAGTGCAACTTTATGTTTTACACGGTGCATAAGCGAATTACATAAGTAATGTTCAAAAGTGCACAAATGCACAAAAAAGGTGCAAAGCTATTCAATGAAACGTGTCGTTGAAAAATTGCAAGATATTCTAATAAAAAGTGCACGAGAGATGCTAGTTGAAAATTTGATACATTTATACATTATGCATTTTTAATAAATTACGTAGTAATAAAAATCAAATAAATTTACTCTTTATATGCTCAGGTGCAAGATTTAGTTTTATAGTGCAACTTTATCTTTTACACTGTGCACTAGCAAATTAAATATATTGTTCAAAGTGCGCAAATGCACGATAAAGGTGCAAAGCAATTCAATGAAATGTGACATTAAAAAAGGTGCAATATATTCTAATAAAAAGTGCATGAGAGATTCTAGTTGAGAAATGGGTACATTTATATGTTATGCATTTTTAATAAATTATTAAAAATCAAATATGCTCATGGTGAAAAATAAATAATGGTGCTGAATTTGTAATTTCAAATAGCACATTTTATATAATTTTGTTGCACCCATCTCACACATTCGTGAATTTTAAAGGTCATATTTTTACATGCAAAAAAGTCATTATATATACAAGATGCATATATTATATAATAAATAATTTATATTTGAATTACTAATCAATTATACGTAGTGTTTGTGAGCATTTTAAATAACTAATAATGTTTTAATGGAAATTATAACTTTTTGGACTTTTAAGGTTTGTTGCACTCAATGAATTGAATAATATGGAAAGTATAAAGTTTAAAACAACTGTATGTAGCATTTGATAAATGATAGGCATCAATTAAAAATTGGTGGTGTTTTGCTTTTACTCTAATGCCCCTTCGTGACTATTAATTTCAATTAAAATGAGTAGAATTAATAACTTTCCTTTTCCTATCCCAAATTACTAGGTAACGGTGCATTCATCTTAGTCCATCCGATTGAGATTATTGAAGGTTAGATTTCATTCTTATTTCTCTCCTAAGGCTTCTTTCTCACCCGAACCATCCCCTATATATACCTGACCGGAGCCGCCGTCCGGCCTCCTCCTTTTGGGGGCCTTCCCGGTGGTATTTTTTGCTCAAATTTTTTGTGTATGTTCCTCATCAAGTCTAGTTCATCCATACCAAATTTCAGCCAAAAATTCAATCGGGAAGGTCGTCAAATGATTTTTGCAAGTTAACTGGTCCGGAAAATACATATTCCGGACCAGTTAACTTGCAAAAATCATTTGACGACCTTCCCGATTGAATTTTTGGCTGAAATTTGGTATGGATGAACTAGACTTAATGAGGAACCTACACAAAAAATTTGAGTAAAAAATACCATCGGGAAGACCCCCAAATGGAGGAGGCCGGACGGGGGCAGTGGTCAGGTATACCTGACCTGAATATTTCTCTATATATATATATATATATATATATATATATATATATATATATATATATAACAAAAGAGTTATAATTACAAGAGGAGTCCCACAATAATAATAATATTAAAACTACTCTATTACACCGCCTCAAGCTGTGCAGCGAAAACGATGCGCAGATTGTCCCGTATCAGTGTAAAACGTTGTGGAGACAAACACTTAGTAAAGATATCTGTCAGCTGAGCCTGTGTGGGAACATACTTGACACAGAGATTACCATGGGCCACCCTTTCACGCACAAAATGATAATCAATATTAATATGCTTACTTCTGGCATGCTGAATGGTATTAACTGAGAGATAAGAAGCAAATACATTATCACAAAATAAAGTAGTAGGCACCCGTACCGGAAACCTCAGCTCGAAAAGAATAGAACGAAGGTGCAGCGTATCCTGAACAGTAAAGGACACAACTCGATATTCAGCTTCAGTAGAGGACCATGATACTGTGGGTTGTTTCTTGGATTTCCAGGAGATGAGGTTTGGTCCTAGAAAAATCGCATAGCCAGAAGTAGAC